TGAGAATTCCTCTCGCCGCCGCCTCGCGCGGGCCCCATAACAATGAGCGCCGGGGCCACCCCCGGGAGGCAGCCGGGGCCAGAGGGCAGCGGGGGGGGCACGGCCGGGGCACCCCCCGCCGCAGACCCCACCTCCGGAACGGGAACGCGCTCCCGCGTGGCACGCACGGGGCACACGCGTGGGAATGCCCAGGCAGAGACACGTGCGTGTGGAAACACGGGGATGGAGCGCGCACGTGACGCCCCCCACCCCAAATGTGACATCCCGGGGCCCTGCGGCGTCTCCCGCCCCGGCAGCGCCGATTCGACCCTGCCCTTCGTTCTCTTCCCACCGTGCCCGGAACCACCTGTGGGACGGGACAGCGGGGGCGAGAGGAGCTGTTTGCTTTCTCCTGCAACTGGGGACACTGGGAGGAGGGGGGGGGGGCAATGGGGGGCACCGGGAGGGCGCTGAGCCCAACCCAGGTTCCCGATCCCATCCCCGTGGGTGCTCCCCGGCATCCCGGTGCCCCCATCGAGGGACCCCAAACCCGGCTGGAGGGGGGAGAGGGCGGGGGGCGGCCCCCCGGCCCCCTCAGACGTCTGCCACAGTCTGATGTGCCCAACTGGAATCACTAAGTCCAATAAAGCCGGGCTAGATTAATTTTCATTTCCCCATGCAAATCAGCGCTAATTAGGATGGATTTAGTTCACCTCACAGGGGCTGTGGGGACAGAGGCGGCCGCGGCCCCAGCCAGGCTTTGGGGCGGGTCATCCTCGCCAAGGATTTGGGAGGGCGGATCCCAAAGCCTGGGGGAGCGCAGTCAGGAGCCGGAGGGGGTCGGGGGGGGACAGGAGGGCAGGGATTGATCCTGATGTTCTGCCCTTCCCCAGGACCCCCGGATCTCCTGCCAGGCCCCCAGGATCAGACCTGCTCCCCCAGATCTCTCCCCAGAGCACATCCCTGCCCCGATTAGTGCCTGGGGAGGATCACTGGACCGCGGGGGGGGAGGCAAACAGGGGTGCCAGGGGGACAAGGGGGGTTTCAACACCCGGGGACCCCCGCCCATCGGGGGTCCGGGGCTGGTTTGCTCGGCTGAGAGCGCGGCGGTGACGGGGGGGTCCCCAGGGACCCCTCTGCACCCCCTGTCCTCTGACTGCAGGGGTGGGGGCTGTGCTGCCCTGCCCGGGGGCGGGCGGGGGGCCCAGCACGATGCGACCGCCCCTGGGCACCCGGGCTGTGCCCTCCCTGCAGCGGGGTGGGGGGACAGCGCAGCCCCCCCAGTTCTTTCCGATCCTGCCTTCGCCTCCTGCTTTGCCAAATATTTAACTAATTCCCGCTGCCCGCAGGCTCCTGTTTGCGCAGGTTGTTGCGGAGCCAAGGAGGACGCTGCAGACGGGACCCCCCAGGCTCAGAGCTGCCCCCCCAAAAAGGGCTGGGGTCTCCCCCCCGCTGCCTGCC